GTTTGCAAAATCACCTGAGATCATGCTAAGTGGGCAGCAAGTCTTAGTATGCTGCCCACTTCACAATAGCTTTTTGATTTGTGATAAATATGAGACAATTTTGTGATCAAAAGGGGATGAATACTGAAAAGGTAATGTTACTGCCTGCTAGAATCACAGTGGACCAGTGGAGTCAGTTCACTTGGGTTCCTCAGTGGTAGCTCTGGTTCTTTCGTTCTCTTTTTGTGTAGCCTTGAAGGTGCCACTTATGATTCAGTCCCTGACTACTTCATGGTGTTTACTTTGTGTGTGACAGCATTCAGTCCAGTGTGGCTCTTTCTGCATTACCAGTCTGTCTCAAATGTATGTGGACAACCAAATGGCGAAGTGCTACTGGAACCCTGGCACTTCTTGATGGCTGTGTTTATGGTGTTCTTCCAAAACACTGAACAACTTTGTGGGGAATTTCATGACGACATCTCCACAATGGTGGCATGACCTCTCTATAAGATTTGGGCAGTATACTTTTTGTAAATCATCTACATGCAGGAAGAGATAGACTGCACAAAACTTGTTAGTTTTGCATTTAGTGAGGGATTAATTGCCTTCCCAGCTGTGTCCTTTTTACTCATTAGATTGCCTGCATTCCCTTTACATTTGTAATATCAACCCCTTTTTGCTCATAGCTGCAGTGGCATTCTTGTGGCGTGATACATGGCTGTGACGTGTGTGTGCATGCTGCAGCCACATGGATGAGACCATGCAGTGCTCCCTCTCCCCAGTTATGCCATTCACACACCGCACAGAGCTCAGAGAGATCACACCACAAGGCTATGTGTGAGGGCTGTGTATGTCTCAATGTATACATAGATTGGCCAAGAGATCGTATCGCTTCTATATTCTTATCCATTAAACTGCAGTGATATTTGGGGATTAAATACTACATGTTAAATAATAGAGAAAATGTGTCCTGTTTTAAGTTGATAGGCAATAGCATCTTGAAGTTAAGTGTTCAGTTCTGGTGAGTGGAAGATGACAGTATGTCTACGAATGCTGACTCTGATCCTAACCATTCCTGTTAATTCACACTGAGCAACAGTTTGGCCAGATGGATGCAGCCTATGGCTTGACTCCCCACCCCACCCGCCAGTCTGTGAGAAAGTAGGGCAGAGTTTTGTGGTAGCTCTCTGCTTCTCCCTTCCCCCATGGAGGCTCTTCAACTCTCTTACTGTGCACTTTTTGGACACAGCTGCTGTACCAGCTGTTCCCCTACTGTCACAAAAGATGTCATTTTTTGAGCAAGACAGCTCCCATTGGCAAGAAGCTTAGAAATGCTAAATGGAATTAAAAAGTTTAATTTCAAATTCATGCAGTAAGTTTATTCAGGGTGAACAGATTTGCTTAACTCCCAGACAAGTGGCCCATCAGCCACTTTACCTCAGGGAAAGCAGAGATGTTCTCGTTAACATGCACCATTTTGTCACTCTGCAGTGGCTGTAAAGGGTTGTGTATCGAATTGGGATGAATTCCAAGTCAAATTCAGCAGAATTGGAGATTGACAGTTTGGGAGAGGCAGGTTCCCTCCAAATGACTTTGAAGCAAATCTGGGCCCTCCTAAATTCTTGTAAGCATTTGTATATTAGGAGGCAAAGGGACAGGCAGACAGGGTATCTCCAAAAGCTCAAACATTTCTCTCAAAGTATTCCATAAAGTGAAAACACCAAGCGTGACGTAGGTTTATGATTGACAATCTGGCTTCCAGTTACAGGGAATTAATTTAACAGGGTTCACTAATCATACTGCCCTGTGGAAGGGGTAGTGCAACAATACATTAACTTGTTTCCAGTCTGTTCTATGCTTTTTTTGTAGTTCTCTCTCTTTAGAGCTGGAATGTTGAGCAGAAATGTGTGTGTGGCTTGCATTTCTTATTCTTACTAGTATTTGCACCTGTTTCATTCCATATTCCTTCTCTCTCTTGTATATTATTTGTTAGTAGGGTGATAAAAACAGTGTCAATACAATTCCTGATCCCCTACTTCCCCCTACTTCCCAATTTGGCCTGAGTTGTACATGTTTAAGTTCAATGTTTTAACCTGTGTATATGTTTGTACATGGAGAGCAATGATCCATAGAATGGCCAAGGGTCGGACATGACTGGATGGTTGATGACAATGTTTGTTACTTTTTGCACTATAATTGTCTTTTGTGTCTTTGGTGTGTGCTGTATGTGACTTACATACACAGTGTACTGAGTAGTGTTCAAATACGATGCACGCAAACACTTTATAATAAACATATGGATTTTACACAATGACATTGGTGCCAATTGACTAGAAATGAAATAGCCTTACACTGTTGTTATGTATCATAGCCCCCTTGTTCCTGCACCCAACCTTCTAAAATTAATGCAATATGCTATTTTCTTACCATTGCCTTAAAATCATGGGAGGCAGGACAGGGAAGTGAATCCCTTTCTTTCAGTACAACTATACTGACTCACCTTGCAGAACAATTGCCAGATCCATCCTGACATTTGCAGCACTCTCTTACCTAAGACCATTTACATGTCAGTTTCATAACCACAGTATTAGAGTGATAAGCACACCTTTTTCGAAAGCATCTCAAACATTAAGGCTGTACTTGAACATAAGCCTTTGTACCTATTCACCTGCCATTTAGCAGGTTTCATTCCAATTGCGCGTGCAAATTTCATCTAATTCTAGTAAGAAATAAAGTTATAGGCAGTACCTTTAAAAAAACAAACTAGACAGTTTTCATTAATTCTGAAGGCATTACTATGTGTACAAATTCCATCCATTTCTGTAATGATAGTCCACGGAGAGGGAAACAAAGACTCAGATTTCCCAAAGGGAGATTCTGATTTGGACCCAAGCCAGAGCAGGGATGCTCCAAAACAGTCTGAACCATGTAAAAGTACCAAAGTGGGCTTTGAACCTTGTAGTCAGTTAGCGCTCACCCCAAGTGTTCAAGGGCTACACTACAAATTGTACAAACACAAGCAAAGGCATCTATGTATGACTAAGTAACATTCAAACCTACAAATGAAACTTTATATTTTAATCTACATTTCATTCTTACAGAACAAGGTGATGTATCTTCTTTTAAGGGTTGTAGTAGGGTTAAATAATGACAAGGCTGGTATTCTCATAAAGGCAATCCTGGTTAGGTATTTCTGTGGAGGTTCCTCAGAACTAACTGCCCTCACTTTGTGCTGTTCAAAACTGTACATCTAAAAAATATACACAGAGAGAAAGATTCATATTCAGTGAAGTAACTTGAGAGATGCTCCCCCAGTTCCCCAATAAGTTCTTTCCCTGAAATGCACTAAAAGCCATTGGTGCAAAGTGGGGGGTCTCCTTCCTAATGTGTATTGTCGCATTTAGTTTTAAACCAAACCCATCATGATTCCCGATTGCCAACAAGTCATGCAAGAGTCACTTTCACTACAGAGATGCAGTGTAGTTATAGAATAATAGTCAAGAACTGCCTTGCTCTTACTACTGATAAGGTAGTTTATGGCCTAGAGTTCCAACAAAAGGTGAGCAAGTTGTGCCACTCTGCAAGCTTCGGACTGTAACCTATCAGTGCTAGCCAGCATAATCAAGGGTAAGGGATGAGGAAAATTGCAGGCAAAATATCTGGAGCCCCAAGTTGCCCACCCCGTCCAAATGGATAGAGGCACCTTTCCTTAGTAACGCAACTGTTTAAGAACTGGGTAACCTACGTCTGTTTAAAAGAGATACAAGAGGTGGCAGCAAAAGTTAAAGTAAAACCTATGAGATCCAATGGCCAAATTAGCTGTGGGTAACTATATGGATAGTGGTCTTGGGAAGCTGGCATCTCAAGCAATGAGGGTGCTCAAATCCTTTCTGCTAGTTATTTTTCCCATTTTAAAATCAATTCACCCCAAAGCTGCTGTTCTCCCACATGGATGCCAAAATGCTTTCTGCTGTGGCAGGAACAGGGAATGTGTGGCCTTCCATGTTTTTGGACTAAAATACCTAGCATCTCTCATTATCAATGCTGAGTAGTGCCAATGGGAACTGTAGTCTAACAGCATCTAGTGGGCTACACCTTCCCACCACCACGAGGCTTCGGCGAATGGGGCGGCATAAAAATGTTTTAATAAATAAAATAAATAAATAAAATGTCATGGGGAAAAAACAGGGAGGTGATTTTAAGCAGAAAATGTGGCAGAGCATTAAGCGTTTCTACCATTTCTTGGTAAGTCTGTAACTTGCTGAGCTTGCTTCTCCTTTAGAGAAGACAACATAAAAATCAGGAGTCAGTTACCTGCCTCTATATATATTGCCTTATTTTGTCCTTAAATATTTTTCAGAGATCAAGAGCTGTCAGCTGTAGATATATGTTGTCTACCGTACAACTGTATTTGATGTGCAAACATCTTGTTTTTCATTTTCAGGAACATGAGCTGGGGCTAATGATGGCTTCCCATATGGCATTTTTAAGTATACACAAGACAAAAATAAAGCTAGCATATTAACAAATACACAACATGGATCTGTAATGTGTGTTCATTAAAATCATAATCAAGACACAATCTGGTTCCATTGTTGCCACAGCTAATATAAAAGGACAGTATATTTCAGTTACTGCTTTGGTTATGAATAGCTGTTCAGTTTTATGAAGGGAGGAAGTCTGATTTTTTTAACACCCCCCCCCACCCCAGCCTTTTAAAGCAGACTTCAGTGCTTTTATTAACAAAGCCTTCAAGCGTCCCCTTGGAACCAAGGTAACCAACAATACCAAACATCATTGTCTGTGTGGTTTAACCAGTGCTCATAGCTGTCTATTTTGTTATGGTAACATAAGGTACCAAATGAAAGCAACATTAGCTAATTTATCTTTTCCATGCTGATAGGAATATGTATGTAATGAAGCATCAGTTTAATCAACAGTATCCATCTTTTTTAGAGAAGAGGTAGGCACCCTGATCAATATGGAAGGCCACAGTGGCAAACACATAAGCTGGACAGCTGTAACTAATATGCATATTTAATTGCTCAACGTAATTTGCATATCATTTTAATGAAGATGGCAGATGCCAAATTACAGATGACAGATATATCACATTTGTACAATACCCTTTTTCTGCAATTGTTCTTTTAGTGTGAAAAGCTTAAAATCCATCAAGTGTTGATATAAGACATCTAGAAAAATAAGGAATTCAGGCTTCTTTTAAAATCACCTTTTGCAGCCAATCCTTTAGTGCTTTCCTCATTTGTAAATATATCTTTGTAGCTGTAAGGGCAGAAACATACATTCAAAATAAAAACAGGTATTCTCAGTTCTCATACAAGAATCTACAAGCTGCATGTTTCCATCCAGATTAAGGTAAAATGATGGGGAAAAAACCCCTCATACATAATACAAAAAAAGCATCACAAAGCAGACCTTTCTAATTCACTTTGTTTCTCCTATTCCACTGTCAAACACATAGTATGTGCCAGCTGCTTCAGCTGCTAGGTCTTACTAGCTAGCAATTTAAATTTTCTACTATATTATGAGCACATATGCCTTCATATGAAATAATCTGATCAAAATTGTTAACTATAATGTTAACTGTATGTTTCTCCAGATCTGGTATTGCCACAAAACTCAGGTCAAGGTTTTAATCCTTAACAACGATCAGTTGTATTATCTTCGGGAAACTTTTGTTCTTCCAGTGCCAAATATTCAATAGTCTCTGTGTATGTCCTTATACTTGGAAATAATAGGGTTTAAAGTTTTAGATAATTTTCAAGATGAGCTTCATTTTATAAAGTCAGAAACCTAACACTTACTACATATCCTTTTTTGGATATAACTGGTATAACTGTCCCAGGAAGAATTGCTTCTATGATCTCTACAGCTTTAGAAAATTATGGCTTAAGAGGGTATAGTTGGGATTCATCTGTTATAGGTGTCTTTTGATCTGGTATCTGCTATAAAAATAAAGCAGCACACATGGAACAGCATAGGCCTGGTTTCACCATAAGGAAGGTAGCAAATAAGCACAATAAACCTAGGGAAGATAGTCAGTGCCTGTATTTTCTGTACAGAGCAATTGATATTTCTTGTATGCAAAAATCGAAAAGCACAATTAAGTGTCCAGCAAATTTTTGAAAAGAGAAGCCTGCGTTCACATTGTTGAAATACAGTTTTTCATGGCAGAGCATTTCATTTAAAAGCTTCAGCTGACAATTTTAGGGCAACTTTACACATGACATATTTCCTACATGAATGCAAAGGAATCAAATACATGGTATTATACAAAGAGATTGCATCTATCAAGGAGGTGTATTTGGCAGTTGGTTCCTAATGCACATATTAATGGGAAAATAAGATGCATGCATATAGCACAGCTTAGGTATCTATTTTCCTCCCCACAACCCCAAGCATTAGAGTAGGTAGAGTAATGTGTAAAGTGACTATTAACTGTTTGCCATTCTCAAAATTTTAGAAAACAGTAATAACATGTAAGGAAAAAGTTCACCCAAATGAATGTGCATGTATATCAGAAAGGCACTAAAAGGCTCTTGGCAGCATTCTATTGAATTAGTTACTCTTACATATAACATATATACGTGTAACCCTAACATAAAGATTTGCAGGCATATGTTAGGAAGGTTATTCTAAAAAGCATTTACCAAAAAAAAGTTATGCTTCAAAAAGAAAAGGGACCTTACTATGGTCTATCTTGTAATCAGATTTTGTAGAATATCTGAATTAATAAAGATGATAAAAGATTTAAGATAATTTGAGACTTGCAATTTAAGTTCAACATAATTATATTTTCCTAAACACTGAGTTGGTGCAGCTATTTATGCATTTCCATTCTCTTTCCATTTGCTTCCTACCTTGAAGTATATAATTTAAGTAGCCTGAATGGCATTTCTAGATGTTCCTTGTACTATTTCACCACTTTCGAGAAACAATGTTAGTCAAGCACAATGGAGTCATGGCAAATCAGCTAGGGATGGATAGTTCCTCAGCATTGGGAACCAAGATCTCCTGTTGAACAAAACACAAAAGAGCTAAGCCCTCAATAAGCTGCCACTGTTGGCCAGTTGTAAACACAGCTCATATACAAGTCTGTTTTGATCTTTAGAGTGGGGATGGTTTGGACTTGCTTGGTATTGATGTGATGGGCTGCTTGGGAGGTGGATTGTCAAACGGTCTCCTTATTTCTGTTTATGCTTCCTTCTTATTAGCATGAAAACCAAACAGAACACTTAGCTAGCCAAACAATATGATCTGCAAGAGTGAGGAATGGAACCTACGTCTCCAAGAGTCTTCAGACAGGCCCATTACTTCTAGTTCACTTCCCTAGCACACACTGGTATTGTTCAGGCACATTAGTGGCAGAAGGGATTCAACCTCGCCTATCAGGCTATTGGAACAGTGGTGGATGTTAAATGTTGTTGAAAATTATTCCAGCTACCTCCCTGGGAAATTGACTGACTTTGTAGCATAGCATTCTACCCTTACACAGCGGGAAAGCAATCTTTAAAAAGCACAGTTAATTGCCACAGACAGATATGTAAAGGGTGCTGCTGTGGTGGGATCAGAGTTTGGTTTGTTTTATGGCAGTTTTGTGTTCTGTGAATTGCAGACAGTTAAGAATCTCAGACAGTTTGCTAGAAAAGCTTGGCATTACTGGGAATAGAAACTTGGGGATAGTGGGGCAGCAGATATAAGGAAATTAAGAAAATATACTGCAGGTACTGTTAAGATCATACTAAAAACTCTAGCTGGCAACAACTACTGTCTTATCATTTAGAGAGAGTGCATGAAGATAATGCCATTGCACAAAATTAGCTACTGAGACATGGAAGACACCTGAGATGAATGCCACTGTCTAAAATTATCAGTAATGTTCTGACACAGTTTGTGTATTTGTCCTTTCAGATGCATTTTATGACATGACAGTTTGGTGGTAGAAGTTGTAGTTTGCATGGGTTGTTGATAACTTGCAGAACAGAAGATAGTTGTTCACATATAATCTGATCAAGACAGATGCTCAAAAATAGATGATACATGAATAACGAAGAAAGAAGAATGTGACAAAAGAATAACAAATGCATATAAATGTTGTGCCCCTCTAGGGTAAACACTTCAATAGCTCCCAGGAAAATAATAAACCAGCAAATGCTAATTAGTGATCATAAAAATATCAAAGACAACATCCCGAACAGTAAAGTAAACCAGAACAGTATTTCATAAACCATCATATTTTTCCTGGTGCATTAACCAGCATTTTCCTGTTATCCATGTATACTCCACTAACAATCCATGCCTAAGGTACACACAAGGAAGCACATTTGTTCCTCCCAAATAAAAATGCCTTGGTGAAGTTCTTATAGAATCTATTTTCCCCAGCAGCATTTAAACCTATTGAACTCATTGATTCATTCAAAAGAATCAAACCTATTGATTCTTCTAAAGTAGCATGAGGATTGCAGTCAGACAGCTTAATTCATAAAGCCAGCCGCTTCAGGTTTGTTGTGTGTATATGCAGACATAATGTCATACATCTGCCTACTACAACTGATGTACAGAGGTGAAGGGACAAAGTCAAAAACTGACATTTTGGGGCTTCCTATGAAAAGGAGCTTCTGCAAGATCCTCTCTTACCTTTTCAAGCCCATTTTTCTGTTCTTAGAAAACAAGGATAGTGCAGTAAGGCCTGCTGTAGTTAGTTCAGATGACCACTCTGCACGCTCCTAATGTTAACTGGTTTGTACTCACCTGCTATCTTTCTTTGCATTAAAAAATTCTGTTAATATGATACCCTAACCATATCACTTAGCACTTTTGTTTCTATAACACCAGATAACTGATTGCATTCTAATCGAAGATTCACCTGCCCACAGTATTATCAGAGTTTACCAACTGCAGCCATAGTTGCAGTTATGAATGGTTCTAGGTAGAAGAGGTTGGGCCAAAAACCCCTGTTCAGGTATTTACCCCACAAATGCTGAAGGTATCATAAGAAGAGTATGTTATCTATTTGGCACCATTCCTATATTTCATCCTTCTCTCTACTGCCTTCACTCATCAACCTGAAAAGATACCCCAATGTAATCCATAATTTATATCCAATGAATCCTGAGTATTTTTAATAAGATGGAGATTATAGTATGCTTAAAAGCACCTGTCACAATGCTGAATGCATATCATGTCCTTAGTAAACTGTCTCTCTGTGAACTTTTAAAAATATTTAAACATATTATTCATAAATGCATCTTTACTGGTTTTGGGGTATATAGGAAAAGGCAATAAACAACAAAATTATTGTTTCCAAAAATCCTATAGTTAAGCCCTGCATAAAATTAGCAAATTTGGATAAAATTAACTTATTTTTCTGATACTAATAAAGAAAAAGTGCAATCCTATGCAGGTTTAGATTGGAAAAAAGCCTATAACTCCCAGCAACTCCCAGCATATTCCAGATAGCAAATTTGTAGACCTAAACTTGCAAAGGAGTGGTGAAAGAATTAGCACATATAAGCAGCTAGAAAGTTACTTGTGCCATCTGCTATTTCAACATTACATAAGATATATCCAATGTAATGCTTTAAGTTTTTAGACCAGTGCATTTATAGCTTGTTTTCCCACCCCCGAAGCAATTCTACAGCTGTTAGTGTAGAAAAGGAAATGAGGTCTCTCACAGAGAAGAGGGACATTTGACAAAACGTTTTGCTTGCAATATGGCCTTCTTTCAAGCTCTGAACCAACAGAAATCAGCAGCTCTACAGAGAAAATTGTTACCAGACACAAGTAGAGATTCACACCCAATGTTCACAATAGTAACTTTTCACTAATTTGTTCAGATAAAAACATTTATGCCCTGCTGTTGGAATGTGCCATTATCCAAATATCTTTGAAGTCTACTTAGTAGCAGGTCTTTTGTTATACACAAGAAAGTCAGAAACATCATGCCAGACATTACTGTCATCATACAGGTAGGTCATGGATGATTGCAACGAAGGCTGTAGAGTGTGTCGGTGATACTCAAAAAGCCAGAGAACAATGCCCCAAACCAGAGCTGCAAAAAGTGGGAAAGGATCTTGCTTTGGCTCTGGGATGTAACCTTTCTCCACTGCCAGTCGGGATAAGCCAAACAGGATTCGAGACAACAGGTACATATTTATCTGTATGGGTGGGAAATCTGAATTAATATCAGGCACATAACAAATCCAGAAAGTGTGATTATGTGAAACAACTTTCAGGTTATGAGATCACCATGCTGGTTATTATATCCAGCTGTTTTTCATATTCGTATTCATACTCATTTCATTTTCTACTCTCAACTGGGCTCTCTATTCTTAACATAGGTGAACAGCTTATATCAATTACAAAATAAAGTACATTTAAAAATTAGCTGTGTGTGCAATCTTTATCCAGTTGCAAGATTACTATTTTTATAGCAGAGAAACCTGCATGCAAGGTATACCTAAATGAAGCCAAGTTATCTCTGGAATTGCTTAGTTTTACCTCTTTGTTCTATGGAGAAAAGTCACAGTGAACAGGTGCACTTCCTGCTATTTTAATTTTGTAAAATATCACAGATTTCACCAACTGCAATCCTTCTAAACCTTTGTCCATAAACAAGCAGTATGCTGAAGTAGATGAACCATAGGTTTGCCCATTACAGGAACAGTTAAATTTTGTTAAATGTCTGATCAAAGCATATTACTCAAGAATGCATTGGGTGGTAGCAAGACAGACTTACCAACACACTGTACTTATTACCATTCTCTCTGGAGTTGCACAGTGAGTGGAAAAAAGATTGTGATGTTAATTTTATGATCCATTAAGAGCTCATAAACAGAAATTCAAAACAGATGAATTTTATGCAGCAACACCAATTGTTAACATCACTTAATTTTCATTTCAAATTTGATGGCCAAAAACACATAGCCAACAGAATACAACACAACTGCTTACCTGGCTGTTAATATTATTATTTTCCCCAAACACTAACCAGCCCCCAATACAGGCTGCAAGGAAAGAATGAATCGGAATTTTCTTTCTCTGTATTTGTGACTGTAGGGCCATCAGACCCTTATATGTGAATACGAAGTATGCCAGGTTTCTGGAATGAGTGTAGGTGGCCCAAGCAATTGCTTTCAATTTCTCTCTTAAACTGGAAAGAAGTAAAAACAAACAAACATTATTCCCCTTGATTTGCTAGGTCAAACAGTTACTAAGGATGCAGTCCTATCAATGGTGCCCTCAGTATCCATAAGCCTGCCTATTTGGAGGCTTACAAGCATCCAGTGTAGGGCAGGAGGAATGGTGGAGGTTATCCTTGCCTCTCTGTTATGCCCAGTCTGCATTTAAGCTGGATGGGGAGTGAAGGAGGCTGAAGCACTGTAAGGATGCATTGTATGTTGGCAGTCTTAGTCTCCTCCCCCTGGAATGCTCCCTTTATACCCTCTCAGAGGTCAATTTGCCAGGCCTGAGGAGGTAGCTAGCATGGTTCTTTCTGTGCCAGTTATGAGGGGAAGGGCAGAACACAAGAGGTCTGACCTCAGATCTGGGAATCCACATTACGGCTCCTCATGCACTATGTAGGGCACCAAAAGATCACTTTCCAAGCCATTGTCTGTGATCTGCTTTGGAAAATGACAATGATAACTTATTCCAAGTTCAAAAAGCAATAGAAAATGGAAGGTCTACTGTCAGTCAAATAAATGTGGGCATGAACAGGTTCTCTAGTGAATCTTTGGACTTTCCAAATTAGATAGAAGTCCACAGTTTTCAACTTTAGATAACTGCTTAACATGTCTACATAGGCTTTATGCAAGCTTTCCCTGGAATGTGACACAGCCAATACTGTTACAACTTTAGTGTTCAGCCTTGTTGATTGAATAGTATTTTATACTGTTATTATGTTAAACACTCTGATACTATCAGAAAGTAATGTGCAAATTAATGTAATAAATAAAAAATAAATTCCTGTGGTCAATACAAGAAAGAATATCATGGCAATTTAAAGACTAAGAAACTTATGCCAAAATCAGGGATGGGGATCTTTAGGCTAAGGGCCCAAATTCAGCCTCCAAAGTTCCCCAGATGGGTACAATCCTTTGACCCGACCCCTGTTTATTTGGTGCTTTCCTGTTTTTTGGTGCAGTTTTTTCCTCCTATTTTAAAGGGCTGAAATGTCTCTTTTAGGGATTAATTACTGGCAATAAGAGCTTTAATTATACTGGCATTGCTTGTATTTTTGGCCCTATCCCTCTTGCCTTTTGCCCTGTCAACCAGTGAAATGCAGTCAAGGAGAGCTGCTTTGAAACTTAATTCAGCCCTTAGGTTGAAGTAGAATCCTCAACCTAGCATAATCTTTAATGAACAAGAATCCAGTTCATCAGATGTATGCAGAGTTTTCCTCAGACTAGCATGCATAAATATGTATATATGGTTGGGACAGGGAATTGGGGGAAAGATTGTAAACTGAGATTTGAAGTACGGGAAATGCAAAAAAGAAGCATGTAACAACTGTGTTAAAACATAAGTATGTGTAAAATTATGCCAGCCGACTCTTCTCAAGGTAGTGTTGATAAGACAAACATTACTACTTAACACCTGTACTAGGATAAAAATAAATTATCTTGAATAAAGCTACAGGTATTAGAATCAAAAGTCTAAAGCTATAATTCAGTGGTTTCATGCTGTAGTCTCCATTTCAAATTCATTTGTTCACTTTTTTTAAGTTTCTGAACATTGCAGTTTCTTATATCAGATTTGTGCTTATTATTTTGCATAGAGAGTGCCTTTTGAGCTACACAAAATGCAGAAGGTCATGCTAATATCTAATAGCCCAAATCTATGCATGTTTACCCTGCACAACTGAATTAATGGAACTTTGCTTCAGTCCTATGTACATTTATCTAAGGGTGTCTCTTTAAATTCAGTGGGCTAATTTATTTATAGTAATTGCACTGCTATTTATACATTACACCAAGTTAAGGCTTAACCCACTGGATGCAGTGGAACTTACTCACATGCATGTTTTTATTCTATATACAGGATTATGCCATTGCATTCCCATCCTAAACTCACTTACTAGGAGGTAAGTCCTGCTGAGTTCAGTGAAAGTTTCTGTGAGTAAATATCTGAATTATTGCAATAGAATGTCACTGGTAGCCTTGTGTAATTAAAAATAAATATCCACAGTTGATACATCAGAGAGAGAGAGAGAATGTGCATTTGTCAAATATGTCGCAACAGGTTTGACAGTCTCAGAAGGCATTCATTGTTTCCACAACTCCGTTCTTATGCATTCCGTGTGGGTTCCATAACTCCGTGTGGGTTCCATAACCTGGACATTATGAAATCACACATGCTTATATATAGTTACATTTATGTGACAGAAAGACCAATACCTTCCACTCCTAAAGAGAAATGTCATCACCAAAGCATGGGGGGCACGGATCTTTGCTCCATAGCTGTCAAAAGGAAAATAAAAGATCAATAAAATAAAAACAAGTGCCTACACTCCAAACTCTGTTACCTCAGGGTCTTGTGATACCTGAGTGATACCTGAATAAGCACATTCAAAGAATATAATGATACTAAAACATTTTGAGTCAAGTCTAACATAAGTTCTAAGTAAAGAAGATCCAGTGAAATTATTGGGATACAAGCTAGTTATAACTAATGAGTCTTATTCATTTCAATGAGTTTACTCTAAGTAAGATTTAGCTTATTTTACACAGAATGTTTCAGTATGATTTTATTCTTTGAATCTGGTCATTTGGGGTTAGGATTAGGGTATTTCCGCCATAAAATAGCAGAGTTTAGGGATGCAGCTTTTAGATGGCAAAGCAGTACAGCGACTATTATTTCTCAGGTCTGAAATAATATGCACAAGAGTATAGGTTATACAATGCAGAGGCATTTGCTCTATGTTCAACCTTCTGCACTGAGAGAATGAAAATGAGCTGTGGCAGAATAACATAAAATTAATTGCGTAATACAGTGTACAAATTTGAACAAGCACAGCTTTACAACCTCCCTCAAATACCAAGATCCTTATTGTTCTGTACCATTAGCTCACTGTTTGGTCACAAATGTTATACATACCTACAGATATATAGAAAGCCTGGCATCTCATTGGCACTTTGCTGATAAAAAAAGTTCTCTGACTCCAAACAGATTTGTAATGTAAGAAAAGAGAAACCTAGAAGTATCCTTGAGAACAAAGTGGGTATGGAAAAACCAGCAGAGATTCTAAAACAGGCTGGAATTAGGGAAGTGGAAGCAAAGCTATGATGAGTTTTAAACATGAAGAAAAGAGGTCAAACACAAAATGAAACCATTTGAGAAACCAAACAATGATTAAATGTAATCACATCATATCTTTTTAGAAGCAGAGGGTATCACAATTAGGCAAAAGGTTAGCCAAAAGGAAAAAAAAACCCATGCTGTAGCTGAAGAAAATAAAAAAGTAACAGAGGAAACAGTAAGAAAGGGATGGCTTTTAAAAATATCATCTATAAAGGCAAAAGGATTCAGCAGCAAATCTAGTCTGAGGTATTAAACATGAAAACTAAGTTATTTGCCTGGATGTTACAGGGTATTACCCTATAACCACTGCTGGCTTTGTCCTTTTATTTAAAAATTGTTTTGGGTGAGTATATGCTTTCTAAACACTTTTCTAAGATTCCATTGAGTCTGCCCCCAGTATAAATGCTTCTTATTAATGTTTCTTTGAAATCAGCCACAAATATGGAGTTTGTTTCCAGGCTTATACATGTGTAGAATAGACCCACTGGAATCAACGGACTTTATTTATTGCCATTATTTATATCCCATCTTTCTAGACTTACTTCCAAGATGGCTTCAATTAACATCCAAACACTTAACCCCCCCCCGCCCACACACAGCACAATACACAAATTTCACTTGTAACTAGACATCTAGAATTCCCACAGAGCGGGAGGGGCAGTAACATTTGCCTCCTTGTCTTCCCTGGAATACTTCTCACGGACAGCTGGTAGTAGGTGGTGAGTGAACACATTTAAGTGGTGAAGGTAGTTTCTACTCACCCCATACTAGTAGGGAAAAACCGTGCTTGCACATATGTTTTGACTAACTTAAGCCCTTCTGTTTTAAATGGCTCTGCTCCAAAGAATGACGGTTTGGGTCCAACCCATACAACTACAGAGAGATTGAAGCTGAAAGTCCCACCCATAGCCCTGTTACTGTATTTCTTTTGATGGAGAAGACACCTGCCAGCATTCCCAGGAGTTTAAAAGAATCTTGCGCCCCTAGGATTCTTTCGCCAACAAGCTTATGGGGCGTAGCCAAAGTGTCTCCAACCCTACGGCTGATTTCCCTCCCATCGCTCCCTAATCTCATAATCTGCAAAGGGAACCCTTCCGCACCGCTCCAGGGCTGTTTCGGGTGAGGGCGAGATGGGTTGCAGAGAGATGGTCTGGCTGCAGCTCACGCAGCCCTGGCTTACACAGCTCCGTTGCGGAAGCCCTTGATGGCAGCCAGGGCGGCCTGGTATCTGCGCTGCTGCAGCAAAGAATTGACGGTATACAGCAAGGTCCTGAACATCGCCTCAGCACGCATGGCAGCCACCAAATCTCGCTCTTCGATCCCAGCAGGTTCGCAACCTCGGGAGACGATTTAGTGAGCGCACGGAATGCATAAGAACGGAGTTGTGGAAACAGTGTCCGTGCGGAAAACCAACGCAGGAAGTATGGTTCCGCTTTTGCCCGGCAACTTGTTCAGGAAACTCGCCTAGGAAATATGCAGGGTGTAGAAATAGAAAGTAATTGAGAGTGGTAGGGCTTTTCTACCTCCTCTGCCATCCTGTTTACTATTATATTTTGAATGTTTATTTTAAATCGTTCGAGCTGGAAAAGTTTCTCCCTGCCCAGGCACATACACATAAACGGGCATACATACATACAAACGGAACGCAACGCCTCTACATTCAGTTGAACGTTGGCTGTACCTTTGCGGGGGGTTTTGAAGGGACACAAAGGAGGCAATATAACTGGACTTGTCCCTCTTTAGTTTTTGAAGGTTTTCTCTTGCTGTGCTACCGGTTTTCAACATGACTGAGGAGTTAAGACGATTCACGGTTAAGCCGAAATGAATTCACGTGGTATATCTGAATTAGTTGCTTCTTTTACTCTTGATCCCTACTCACTAGCTGCATTCTTTGTGTATTGTTAGTGGGTGGCCTATATCTGTATTTCAGCTATTAAAAGCGAGACCAGCACCGTACTAAAAGCTGGAAGTGATATTCCAGTCTAATAGAATAAAGAGGGTGATCATTTATGACCCCCGCCCCTATCTGTAACTTGAGATATTAACATTGAACTACATTGCACGGTTGTCAGAAACCATCTTTCACAAATATCGCCCTGTAATACGGGAAGAAACACTAGCCTACATTGCAAGGTTGTCATAAATTACCCTCCACTACACGACTAGCAACAATAAGGATTTCCTCCTTGTTTGCAGTATGCGGATAATAGTTTTTCTTACTTTCGTGTGCAGCCTCACTTTTTTAAACTTGTTTATAAACACAAATTTACCTTGATTCTACATTTCTATTTTACATATCGCTGTGAAGGTGTGTTTTGTGGGAATATATTGCTGCCAATCGAGGCTACAGTCTCCTTCCAACTTTTAACAAGAAAAAAATGTCGTCAAAACTTCCGAGGAAGTCTTGTCTGCAGCCAAAGTAGATTATCTCTGTTTGGAACTTTACATTTTTGTGATACAGAATGTTGTATTCCTGACGCCATCTAGGCAGTTGCACCTGTTCTTCTACTTTCTGCAGTCATAAGAAAAAGTATTTTCCATTCCATCTTTAAAGACAGCAATTAGGATAATTATATTTTCTGGGAAAGAAATTGCACTGCTGCCAATCAGACATGATTCTGACAAAAAACCTAATAGAGAGCAATTTGATGTTCCTTTGCAAGTAAAGGTTATTCTGAAAACGTCGGAGGCACTGGAACCTGTTTTGTCTTGCTTCCCAGCCAGGTTTAGAGTGCCCCCCAGTGGATAACCTGATATTATTTTACAAAGTTGCCAGTATTTGCGGAATGTCTAATTCAATGAGTCTTGCTGGTGAGGTTTTACTGTGCAAACCCACTTTCTCATTCACAACATTTTTTAGGGGTCCAGGTGTTCAATTTGTAGTCTTCCTCTATTTTCTTACCACTTCTGCTTTTTTCTTTTTGAAAAAATCTTTAAGGAAGGAAAGATGGAAAAAACTGCACAATTCTTTTTGACTCTATTTAGAAGCACTCAAAGACAATCACAAGTCTGGCTCAAGACATTTTGTTGCCTGGGGAACTTGAAATTGAAAATGCAAAAGGAGGAAGGGTAAATTGGAATGATTTAAACAATTAAGAGAAAGATAGTAACGAGAGGAGAGGAAATAAAGCAGTGGGGGGAGAAAGAAAGGGTAGAAAAGTAAATGAAGGGGGAATGAAGATGCCTTGAAAGATTATCCCTCCTTAAACTATAGTTGAAAACTGAGACTCTTTCCCACAAAAATAAAATAAAATAAAATAACTGAGTGGCTGAGAACATTCTTATCAAATAGTGGGAACTAGAAGTTCATCTCTCAAAAGATAGTTTTTGTTCTGCACAATATGCTGAAGGTTCTGCATCATATACCAACAATAACAGGTTCTGAAGTTGTCTCAGAATAGAGATTACAGTGGTACCTCGGCTCACGAACTTAATCCATTCCTGGACTCTGGTCATGACCCAAATTGGTCATGAGCCAAGTCAAATTTCCCCATCAGGTTCAGTGTAAATAAGGTTAATCCGTTCTGTAATTATTTTTTAATCACAAAAATTTGAAGCAAAGTGACAAAGAACAACAAAGATCGCAGCCATCTCACCCCACCCCCCAGTGAAACCACGATTGCACCCATGTTCCCTGCATGAGCGTGACCATGATTGCGGCCATAGATGGGCATGATCATGGGCACGCTGGGGGGGAAGACGGGCACATTCACAATCGTCACCCAATGAGGAATTCGTGACCTGAGGCAAAATTTTTCAGAAATTTCTGTTCGCAACCCAATTTGGTCGTGAACTGAGGTGTTCGTGAGCAGAGGTACCACTGTATTCACAAAATGGCGGCTCTAGAACTTCAGAGTTGCATGCTGTTGTTATGTGCTGTCAAGTCATCTCTGACTTATGGCAATCCTATGAACAAAAGCCCTCCAAAATGTCCTGCCCTTCCAGCCCTGGAAAAGCTCTTGTATATTTAAGGTTGTGGCTTCTTTTATGGAGTCAATCCATCTTATATTTGTCCTTTCTGTTAGATTTCCTTAGCATGATTGTCTTCGCCAATGAGTCTTGTTGTCTCACGATGTGCCTGAAATACAACAGGCTTAGTTTTATCGTTTTTGCTTTCATGACAAGTTTTGGCTTGATTTGTTCTAGGTCTCACTTGTTCTGACAGTCCTGGTTATTTGCAAAGCTCTCTTCCAGAACCATCTTTCAAATGCATAAATCAGTACAGCTTAGCCTGCAAACCTGCATCCTTAACCTTCAACTCTTATGTTAAAGGTTTGGGATCAATTGGAGTATGGCATAATAACAATGTGTGCTCTCTGTCATAACTGCTATTGTTATTTATTTATTCATTCATTCATTCATTCATTCATTCATAATTGAATTTATAATCCACTCAACCAATAGTTCAACAATGTGCCACCATCTATAGCTGCTTTGCTAGCTCATGCACCAGCTGCTGACACATCATTCACAGCTAAGCTCTCATCTGTGCCTGCTGATGAACCTCCAGTGTTTGCTGCTATCAATTCAGAAATCTTCTGCAATACTTTCAGCTGCCTTGAGCTCTGCCAAATATCAGGACACTTTCCTCCAATCAGATATGAGGGATAATGATCAAGAATATTTTATTCCTCTGCTAAAGTTCTGGTGTGGAGTCTGCTGATCAAATCATTCATGGCGATGTACAAATAACTGGTGAAGTTGGACACATGATCTGGCAGCCTGAGCACTTTTTGTCACACATCAGGGCTGGGATCCAGAGATGTCTGAGGCACTGCAGAAACCAACTCCTGTCTCCTTACACTCCAAAGCTTTCTGAGATGACGTGGACAGGACTGTATTCTGTCCTATTATCTTGGCATTGGAAGTCTGAGGAAAAGCCACTCTGTGGCTTTCTTGAATTCCTACTTGACTAAGATAAGCTATCCCTTATGTCCTTTCCAGCTGTTGCATTTACAGTCTTCAATAGATACAAAAAGCAGCTGCAAAGAAATGGGGTCAATATAGAAAAGTGGACAATGTTGGTAAAGTCAAAGCTATTGCGACTGAAAGAACAGCATTTACTTGGTGAATGCATCAGAGTTTTCAGGATGAAGCTGTTAGACAGCCAGATGGAACAGTGATGCTGAAAGGAATTCAGTTGGTAAGAAAACACAAAAAGAGATGCAGGGAACACTACCAGTCTATATTTCACAGGACAGATGTTGGTACTATCTGTAATAAAATACAGACTCTCTTGTTGAGTTCTTGAATCAACTTTTTGAAGATGATGTTGATTTATTGTTGATTATGAAGCATTATGATGCTGCACAACATATACAATTGGGGCATGGAATGTGAGAGGTATGAATCAAGGGAAATTGGAAACTGTAAAGCAAGAAACAGAAAGAAAGGACATTGCAGTATTTGGAGTGAGTGAACTAAGATTGGCTGGAATGGGACATTTTCAATCAGACAGACACAAAGTGATTTACTCCAGAAATGACAAACTCAGCAGAACTGGAGTGGCTTTACTGAGGCAAGATGTAGCACAGGCAGTAAGGGGCTCTAAAGAAAAATCTGATGAATAATATTGGTCAGAATTAGTGGAAAACCCATCAACATAACCATCATTCAAGTCTATGCTCCAACATGAGCTGAATAAGAAGAAATTGAAAACTTTTATGCAGGTGTTCAAGAGGAAATTGCCAACATACCAAAATGAGACATGATGCTAATCCTAGGTGACTGAAATATAAAATCAGGAAACATAGAAGACAGAAATGTTGTAGGATTATTTGGGCTCAGAGTAAGAAATGAAGCAGGGCAATGACTTGTAGAATTTTGTGAAGCCAACTACCTGTTCATCGCAAACACATATGTCAGGCAGCAACCACTCATATGATTGCATACCTGGACTTCACCAGAAAGCCAATGCAGAAAATAGATTAGGAAGCATAATTGGAAGTGGAAGGTAGAGCAGCTGTATTCATGCTACCAAAACAAAACCAGGAGCAGTGACCACTGGTAGTGATCATCAGCTCTTCATTTCAAAAATCAGATTCAAGCTGAAAAACATCACCAACAGAACCATAGTGCCAAGATATAACTTAAGTAACTTCGTTGAAGAATATAAAGTCCACATAAAGAATAGATTTGCATTGCTCACCTTAATTGACTATGAGACAGAAGAACTGTAGACAGAAACTAGAGACATTGTTAGGGAAGAATGCCAAATATCTGTAGCAACAAGAAAGAAAAAACCTATATAGATGTCAAAAGAAACATTTACAGTTGTAAAAGGACAGATGAGAAGCAAATGCAAAAAGTGGCAGAAATATGATCAGAATCCTAAATGCAACTTTTCATGTGACAGTGCTCATAGCACAGCTTCTAGAAACTAAGCCTTATAATGTTGATGTTGAACATCTCATTAGCACAAGTGTCATGCTGAGAACCAGAAAGTTTCTCCTGTCCTCACCGTAGGGGTCTCTGCTGGTGGGAGGACCACCAGCACTTCCAGTACTCTCCTACAAAGTGTACATATTGTTACATGTGGTCAAGTCATGGCCTTTCTCCTACAGAAGAACGGCAACGAGGGATTTTCCATTGCATTTTAATATTGTTTTGATTGATGTTTTCAAGCTGCTGTGTTATAAGGTTATTATTCCTGTAACAGCCTTGTTGAGTTGCCAAGTTCCATGTACTCTGGTTTTTCACAGTTTTTATTGGTTATTAATATTATTTGTTCTGCTTTATATTGTGTGCTGCCCAGAGAGCCCTATGGGCTATGGAGTGGTTTATAAATAAAATAATAAACTAAACACCTCTATATGCTGTCTTCCACTAAATGGGGTCCTAGTGCATCAGTCCCCCTATGGATGACTAAACAAGCACAAAAGCAGAGAAAGCTAAAGCAAGAGGGCAGATGTGGTTTGATGGAATTTTCTCAAAGAACTCCAAGCAGCACTGCTCACCCCACCCAGTCACCAATGGTAATGATCTGACCATCTTTTCAAAGAAGGAAATTTGGAAGAGAGGTATAGTGTGAAAGGAGTTAAGGTGTAGTCTTCTTTGCATTGGTACTTGTGTGCCACAGATGCATACCTACATATACTGTTGATAAATGAATTAATTCATGTTTTTGACTATCAAGCAGTTGATCCCAATACTATATGATCGTTATAAGGTTATAAGACTTGATATGAAACAATAAGCATTTTAATATTTTCTTTAAGGAACACACTTGTTCCTTATCAAAGTCCACATGCCCAATTGCACATAACATGACCAGCTTTGTATTAGAATAAATCCTGGGTTTCCAGGCAGAGATGCTTCATTATAGCCAGGTTGCTGTATTGTGTATTGTCATGTATTCTGGGTATAGTTCTAGAACCCAGCATTTGATAATTTCAGTTGAGTGTGTGAATCCGTTCTAAGCTCTCCTCCATGTTTCAAACACATCAATGTTCTTTGTGTCCGCTTTCTTCACTGTCCAGCTTTAACACCCATACAATGCACTTGGGAATACAATAGTGTGGATGGTAGTCTCCCATGAAGCATCCTTACAGTTGATTATCTTTTCTAGCTCCTTCATTGCTGCGCTTCCAAGTCTCAGTGTTCTTTGAATGTCCTGGTTACAGTCTCCCTTTGAATTGATAACTGGGCGGAGGCATGTGAAATCTTCCACCAATTTCTTCCTTCTTAAGGGTAACTAGGTAGTATTGCCTTTTTTTTTACTACTACACCAAATAACATGAACGGTTATATGCTCCTTTTATGCGCTGTATAAACTGCAATTTTACATTTTCAGTACATACTGAGGCCGCTTAACTGTAGATGCTCAATAAATATATCGCCTATTGATCAAGGATTGTTGAATTCCTTTGTTCCATTACCGATCTTGATGTGTTATGTATGATGTCCTCCTTTTTGTTGCCTTTCTTTTGACAACTTCAAAACTAAAACAGTATTTCGTGGGTAAATTAAATATCTAAAGCCCCCCTCCCCAGCTGCAATAACCATTCGGACCGCACCGCTTGCAAATGCTTCACCTGGCCGACTAAGCCCCACCGCGGCTCTTCACCTCCATCCCCCTCGCGCCGCCGCCCCCCCCCCCCGCCCTGCGCGTGCCAATAGGCGATGCAGATGTCAGCGGGCACGCCTCCTTCCCGCTCTCCCCTAGAGCGGCTCTTCCCTCAGCCAGACTCCCCTCCCCACCCCACCCCGCTGCCTCGCGCCCCCCCTGGTGGTAGAGCGGGCCTCCCTTTCCTTCCCACAATGCCCGTTTAGGCTGCTGTGCCGCGGCTGCCTCCGCTCCAAGATGGCGCAGGCGATATTCGAGGCGCTGGAAGGTATATTTATCTATCTATGGGGGGGGGGGGGGGGGAGAAAGAATCGACAAGGCTTCAACCTCGCCTTGTCATGGCGAGAGCAAAGGCGCCACGAGCCCAGGCGTGGCTGTTCCACGCCAGGTCTCTCCTCCCGCCGCTGCGGACGGGACAGGGGCTGCGAAAGCTGCGGGGCCGCCCCAGGCAACCGCTGGGGCCGAGGGAGGGTTCATGGAACAGCCGCGGAAGCTGTGCCTGTCTGTGTCTGTCTCCTGGAGCAGCAGCTGCAGAAGCAGCGTCACTTTGTCTCTTGACATGCTGTGGCAGGATGTTAGGAGGGGAAGGGGCGCTTTCAGTTCTGCTGGAAGGCCTTTCCTGAAACAAGGGGGAAACTCTTCCGAATACCTGAGGTATTCGGCCATTGCTGCCGCCGCCTCTTGGCCTTCTAGGGGATCTTACCAAGAGACCCTGCAAAGAGGAGCTCCCCCCACCCCCACCCCCATTTCTACCTTTTATGTTCTTGAGTAGGGCAGGTAGGGTACAGATCGCCACCTTTCCCAGAGAAAGTCAAAACTGTTTTGTGTTCATTGGCGTTGCGTTAAAATCTGTATTTTTTTAAAAAAGTGTCACTTGTCTCCTGCTAGCAAACTAGATCTCATTTGCTCCACAAGTGGTGCTTGCAGTTTTACATGTTCTTACTTTGAGCTAAAATGGCTTGTCCCAGCTGGATCAGGCCAACAGTCCTGCAGTTTGGCTTTTAATGTAGCCAACCAGATCCTTGTTTTAATTTATGCATGCCAGTAGTGCAACAGGAGCGAAACCATTTTGTCTTGTGAAATCCCTCTAAGGCACCCAGTCTTAACACATCTTCAGCTATAAGCAAATCTTGCTGAGCAGGACTTTGCTTCCAAGGAAGCACTAATGGGGGCTGCTAGGACATGCTCCATAGGGTTTTAAAATAGGCTTGCTGTGCCACAGTTCTGAGATACCAAGTTGGTGGGTGCTTGGTTCCTCAACTGAGGTACCAGATTACCTGTTTTCCTGAAATATGTGTCTTGGGACAATTTATGATAAAGACTAATTCACATATGTATTGATATTACATTGCATGTGCCTGGACAGTGGTAATTTTCTTGCAGAGCACTGATTATGTAGTTATATGAGAATAAGTATGTAGATGACAAACTACAGCTATATTTTGCATAGAAATATTTGGTGCAGGATATTGCACATGAGTATTCTGTGTACACACACTTGATTTCAGACAAAATGGAAAGTAACTGACTAGCTGAGAAGGGTTTTTATTGTTTTCTGACTCCTGAACTTTTGTTCAGAATCCCAGATTGTCATAAATGTTAATGGGATGTTTAGCCATACTGAGTTCTAGAACCAGAGAAAAATCTGACGGATTCAAGTATTTGGGGTTTTTTTTGCTATGAATTGTGTGTGTGGGGGGAGCAGTCTAACTGATTAATATTAAACTGAATAAGGATTTTCCACCCCACCCTGATTGGCCATTGGTATTGATCAATTTCTTGACAATTTGTTCATTTTTGGTTCATGTTGTATTAAGTTGAATGGTGATGTATCTGTGTAGCAGAAATGGGTTAATATTTGTAGAGTTCAATGTTAAGACATGGGCTTGGGCATCAAAGCCCTCCCAGCCCTCCTCATTCTATTGTCACTTACCTGAAATGATTAAAAACATTTGCTTTATGTTAATTCTATGAAGAATTTGATGTGGAAACCAGTGAGGTGTAGTGGTTAAGAATGCTGGGAGTAGGACTAAGAAGCTCTGGGTTCTAATCTCCATTCAGCCATGAAACCCACTAGGTGACTGAGTCAGTCACTGCTTTTCAGCCTAACCTACCATACAGGGTTGTTGTGAGGGTAGAATGGAAATGAGGATAACCTTGTAAGTTGTTCTGGGTTCCTTGTAAAAGTAGACAGGTGGGAAATAAATGCAGTGTGGGAGTAATAATGTCATCAGGTAATCCAACTTTGTATAAATCAATTATATCATACACTCTGATGCAAATTTCATTTTTACTCTGCTGTAGTGTATTGCATAACCCAAATTTTCACTAGAAATCATTTTTGTGGTCAGAAGCTTAGAAAGCTTTTATTGGAACAACTATGTCTCTACCTAAGAGGCTACACTTACCTAGGAAGGCAAACAATATTTATTTCATTTTTATACTGCCCCACAGCTGAAACTCTCTGAGCAGTTATACAGATTATTTCTCTGGAAAATACCAGCAAAGATGAAGGGTAGAAGAATTTATTTCTAGGATGGACAGCTGTACTGTGTCCTGCATTTACTTTGACATCCAAATGTCCAGTCAAAGGACATTTTGTAGCTATTGCCTTTTCTCCATTGTTTTTTTCCTAGTAAGAACAACAACAGAAGAAGCTGTGGGCAAACATAAGATTTGCAAACGGAAGAGTAGCTCTGTGAATGGAAATGAGATGGGGTGCTTGCCTAATAAAAGCCTCATCTGGAAAGTTCCAATATTCTGTTAATTTTTTCCAGTCAGAAATGACAGGCTAGATCAGTGCATAATTCAATGAATTTGTCAAGATGTAATCCAAGCTAGCCCCAGAACAGTATTGGTCCATACTAAATTCTATCAATGCATTTTACCAATAAAAATTAGGATAAGAGCAGGTGGATGGCTTTGCTGGGCAAACCCAGCTTCTACCCATAGCTGCCTGGATGTCACTAGAAGTTCATAAACTACATGAAAGTGATAGCTGTTCCCACCCTCCATGTTTTATCCTCTGTATTAGGTGTGTAAGGGTTGTGTGTGTGAACGTGGAGTTTTCATTTGCTTATTATGGCCAGTAGCAGGGGAGGGTAAGCTTTTATTTTATTTTATTTAAAGCCACTTAAGCTAACAGGTATCACCATAAATTGTGGTTGCATAAGTTAATTATATATCGTCTGCAGAACAGCATCCTATTGTCAGCTGTGAGCCTTCTGACACCCCTGGGTGTCTGTCTAAGTGTTCTAGGCTTACACAAGAGAAAGAGGAAAACGATCTTCACTTGGTTTCCTTTTAGCAAACTCCCCTGCATTAAAATTAAAATTGATATTTCTTAGCCTTTTTATAGGAATATGTTTGAAACCTTTAATTGAAGTTAACAGAATGTCAGACCTGGAACTAAAACTAGTCCTCTGAGTTTTGCAAAAAGCAGTGCTCTCTTTTCTACAGTCTTTCTTCTCAACCGATTGTTTGGTATTTTCTTGGCTTTTGTGAAAGTTTTTCTCCCATTCTGTAAAGCTGAAGTGCCTCACCTAGATTTTAGTCACTAGAAGTTTGCAATCTAAATTATTTGCAACTAAATAAAATGATAATCTGCTGTTATATTTGGATTTTAACCTAACCACACCATTGGAATGGGGATCCTAAGAGTTTCTCTGAAATAGAATTCATCCCTCAGTCTGAAAAATAGTCAGCACCTTTACCTTAAACATTGAGGCTGAAATCCTATACAAGTTTACTTGGGAACAATTGTTATTAGATTTAGCAGATGTTATTTCTGAGTAGGCATGCATATGATTCTATAGTAAAGGATTCTTTGTATAGCTTTTCAGTTTTATGATTATCCTTTTGGAGATAGGATTGGGTACAGTAGCTATGTCACTAATTATATGGCGGTGGTTTTTATATTGTTCTGCCCTGGTAGGAAAGGGAAGAAAAATAATTTAAAATAAAGTATAGTTCTTTCTTTTGCTGCTATGCAGATTCATGTATAAAAAACATATGTGAAGTAACCCAACAATTAGAATGTTATGCCCACCACAGAAATGCTTCTGAAAAACAGAGTTCTTACCCTCATAATGTTTTAGATACACCAAACCATCTGGCAAAGCATTACTACATGGTGAGTTTTCCTACCCCAGTTGGTAGCAATCAGCAATGCAAAATGGGAGCTGGAAAATATGCAGTGTCCAGTAGGACTGAGTCATACATTGAACACTGCTAAACATTACATTGAGGGGAAGGAGAACCTGCAATTAGGATGTCAGTACCATGATGGTGATCATAATGTTTATTCCACTGTTACTCTTCTTTTACCCTTGCAGTACTCAAACAGGGCTGACGCTACTGGAAGATGTAGAATTAATACATGCAACTTTCAAGTTTAAATAAATCCTGCAGTTAAATACAGATAGAAAATTTCAATTTTCACATTTTCTTGGTTAGTAGGCACATTTGGAATTTGGAATGGATGAACATGGTGATTACAAAATATACATTTTCCTGAAGTCAAACATATGACACTAGAAGAAGGATAATTTGTCCAAGAACCTAGGTATAAGGAAGAGCTCTGGTCTAAGCTCCAAAACACAAAACCAATCATTAGCACCCAAAGAAAAAAGAAAAAGATGGTGCTGGAAGTACTTAACTATGCAGCATAGCAGCCTCCTGGTTGAAAACATCATTTTAAACAAATCTTTTAAAATAAAATTACAGGGGCAGGGAGCCTGATGGGGACCAAGAGAGGTATTTGTGTGTGCTTTTGTGACCAAAGGCACCACACTGGAGACCCCAGAAGATGAACTGCAGCTAAAAGCAAAGAAAGAACAAATTTAAGTAAGGTGCATGTAAACAATGTCCTTTGCACAAGCAAGCGGAATAGCTCACATACTTCAGAGATCTATGGTGTCACACTTTGGTTCCCATATGAGCCCCTCTTGGCAGGCTGAGAAATTGCCCTCTCTTGGGCCAGAACTCACTTTAAAAAATGACTATGTAATAGGTTTGCCACAGACCTATGTATGTACTATGTAATATTCCTTTATACAGTCCCCAAACATACGCAGCATTTCCAAGTTTATCTGGGGTAGCTGGGTGGCTCCTCCCTATTTGTCTCTTGAGAAGATGCAGTTTCCAATCAGGGAAGGAAGATTTAATTTTCCAGAGCTTATATTATAGGGCTTATGTGTTAATTTATAGAAATGAATGGAAAATATCTCCATGGATTGTTTTGGAATTAACATTTTTATGGCTTGCTGGTTGGCTTTAGGAATTGGATATAGTAAAAGGACAGGAGTGACTTCATAGCAGTCAGTTGCAGTTTGGCCCACATCCTTATGCTAAAATAACTCTGTGGGATAATCCAGTCTTGAAAATAAGAGGCAAACAGAAAATTCCATTCTTTCAATGAAGCATGGTGGTAGCAACATATTGTGGGGATGCTTTTCCTTGGTAGGAACTGGGGAATTGGTTAGGTTTGAGGACAGAATGGTTGGAGCCAAATGCAAGGCAATTCTAGGGGGGGGAAACCTGTTTCAAGTCTGCAAGAGACCTGGGACTGAGGTGGCAGTTCACCTTCCAGCAGGACAATGACCTTAAATACATAGTGAAAGTAACACTGGAGTAGTTTAGAATCAAGAACCTGAATCTTGCAGAATAGCCCATTCAAAGCCTAGACATCAATCTGAGAAAAGTTGGAAGTTGTTCATTGGTGACCCCATCCAACCCAATAGAGCTGGAGCAATTTTGCCTGGAGGAATGGGTAAACTTCGTAGGATCCAGATATACAAAGCTTATAGACAACCAAAGACTCATAGCTGCAATTGCTGGCAGAGGTGATTCTACCAAGGATGGACTGGGAGTGGGGAGGATACTTCTGCAACCCACAAGTGCCAGTTAAGGTTTGGTTGCTTAAGTTTGTACAACAGTAAAAAAGTTTTGCACCTTCAGTCTCCTGTGTATCTTGTGTACATCAAGTGGTAATTCTAGTTAAATCCATTTCAATTCCAGGTTTTAACCCAACAAAATGTAGAAAAGTCAGAGTGGGAGGTGGGGATAAATACTTAGGCAAGACACCGTATTACTGTCTTGTGGTGGCTACAGCATTTTTTAAGCATACAGCAGTATAGGGGCCATTAGTGGTGAGTATTTCAGCTGTTGGAGGAATTGATTGGTTCCTTATTTTAAAAAATTGCTATTTATAAATGTCTTTTGGAATGAAGTAAAGTAGATAAAATCAGAAAATAAGAGCTTCATGGGATAATGAACCAAAATGTTCTGTGTAGTCTCAACAATGGAGTATTGCCATAACTTCCATACATGTAATTTCTACATGATGATTCAACAAAAATCCACGTTTTGTGTATATTGGACTCCACAGAGGCTTTCTAAGAAAAAGCTGGCTAACCATGTTAGTTCCTGGTGCTGTGCTGAGGAAATGCATCATCAAGTCATATGATGATGGATGGGCATGTTCTGTAGTTGTAGCTTTTTGCCTGGAAGTCATCACTTTTATAAACTTTGCCCTTTAAAATCTGTGATAATTGCAGGTGTTCAAGCACTTTTAAATTGTATTTCTGTGATGTGGGGATTAGCAGGTGGATAGCAAAAATGGAAGCTGAAAGCCCTGGCAGTTGTAAAGAGATTTATAGTTGCTTGGAAGGATAAAGAACCACCAGCTATCATTGAGTGGTCTGAAGATATTACTGAACATATGTCCTACAGTTATCAGTGTACTATGAATGATTATTTCAATATATGCACAGCTAATATTAATGTATATATTTTAAATAAAAAATATTCCATTTCCCCCTTCTACTTCCCCCCTTTATTCATGCCAGTGTAAATTATTATTGTGTAGGGGTGTGTTATATATTATGTTCTTCCCTTTCTTTCTTTCTTTCTTTCTTTCTTTCTTTCTTTCTTTCTTTCTTTCTTTCATGGCTTCCCCCATTTCTTTTTGTTGTTGTTTTGGACTTCAACTCCCATCAGACCCAGCTACCATATTTACCAGTTAGGATTTCTGGGAGTTAGGTTCCAAAACATCTAGAAGCCTCCAAGTTGGGATAAGCTTTACTGATAGAACTCTTAAACATTGCCCACTTTTTGGCCGAGACAGACATTTTGCCGTTCCACAGAAAAGAGCTTTGGGAATTTTGGGGCAGGTTATGGCTTAGCAAGCTGAGCCCGCAGGCAAGTTATTTGATTCAGCTTCTGTGCTTGTGCCATGGAAATAATCCTCCTGCTCCCACTAAGGTTGAGAAAGACTCAGGGAAATCCTGAGCATTTTTAAAAAAAATTATTAGCACCATTAATGTGATAGGTTTTAAAAATTGTTGGGTGTGGATATTCTTTTGGTACATCTGATGCAATAGGGTGGTTCATTGTGTAAGTACAGTAAATGAAAGGAGAAGAAAGCTTACTTTGTAAGCAGATCAGGACATTGCATTTTGCATGTTTGATATGCTTAATGTGACATTTTTGATACATTTTATATTGTCAGACCAGTTGTTTATTCTTGAAACTGCAGGTGTTTCAATATACAGCCTCACTAACCATCATTTCTGTCCCTTTCAGGAATGGATAATCAGACAGTGTTGGCTGTTCAGTCCTTATTAGATGGCCAAGGAGGAGTAACAGATCCATCAGCACAAACTGTCAACACATCTACCACCATCCAGTCTATGGGTGGGTGTCTTGTTTGCATGTTAAAGGAGGTTGAAATGGAAAGGACGAAGAGCTGGGCTCCTAGTATGTCAATTGCCTTTGTCACTTTGACTCTATGATATTCAGAAACAGTTCACTGGAATCTGATGTTGAAGTGCAGGCAATGTGCGTCAGGGGATTCTAAGCTCATCTTACTTTCCTAGCATCATATCTTCAGACATCAGTTACATGATCCTAGAAACTATGTACATCAATTTCTGCTGACCTAATGGCTGACTGGATAACAACCCATATCATCCTTAACCAGCATGGTCATGGGGATTGGCTATGCTGAGCAGAGGCATATAACGAATATCAGAAAAGAACAGTGAGGATTCGGGGCTGCTGGCATGTCAAAGGCAGCCTAGACTCACGAATTTATTTCACTATCTCTTCCACTCTATTGGCCAACAGTGTTTTGACTAAGGAGGACAGTTGTGGGTTAATTTCAGATCATGGCAGGACTAACAACCAGCCCCGTCCCTTTTTCCTTGTAATTTAACATTCGGCCCCTCTAGCCTTTCTTCTCCCCTGGTTTTGGTCTGCAGCATAAATAAGCAGCTTGGCATGTTGGAGCAAATAATCCTTGGGCTGTCCAAAGTATGCAGTCAAATCCCAGGTTCCTAATTAAGAATCTTTGTTAGAACCATAAAATAAAAAATAAGGGTAGGGAAGGAAAGGAAAGGAAAGATAGGTATTTTACTCTGTATGTGCACAGTGAAAGGCAGTGTTATTTCCAAATCTGTAGCAGATAGGCCAGCCCTGCTCTCCAGTGTTTGTATGTTTTCATTGTATGTTTCCATGTCTTTGAAGGTGTGCATTTCTACTTCGTAGGTAAAAGCATAAAAAGTGAACTTTGCTTCAGGTAGCAATCATTGTTAGAAAGCCAAGCATTGGTTGCTATCCTTATAAAAAGGCCCCCAACTTGACAATTTGCTTCCCTCTGGCTAAAAGCCTCTGTTTAGTTACTCTTGCCATGCAATATGCTACTTCCTCTTGATTGCAACTGAAAAGGACTCTGTTCTGGATTTATAACTTTCCCCTTCTGATTGCAGATGATGAAGATGTGTTTCTTTGTGGGAAGTGTAAGAAGCAATTCAATTCATTGCCAGCATTCATGACTCACAAGCGGGAGCAGTGCCAAGGCAATACCCCCTCTTTGGCTACAGTCTCGCTGGCCACCAACAGTGTATACACTCCATCTATTACATCAGTGCAGCAGGCTCAGACCACCAATCGCCAGGTAGCAATGCTGAACACTTGGAGGTTTCTGTGCTATAAATTGTACATAGCAGGAGATAACCCCAAGCAAGTTATAGCCGTTGATAGTCATGGCTTTTGGAAACCCCAGTAAGTTTTCTTGGGCTGTCTCCATTTGATTAACAAAAACATTGCCATAGTATTTTCAGCATTTCACTACTTTTAAAGTATGTTTTTTTCCTGCATGCCATAGTATATAACTAATACTGTAATTGTATTGGATTACTTTATTCGCAGGAAGTTATTGAGGTACTTAGTTCAGTTTTATTGATGAGTCTACAAAGTTATCACCATGCTCAGGATACATATAAATGACAACATAATATGCAGTTTCTTCTCATAGCAATAATACATTTCTCCTGGATATGAGACCTGTGTGTACTGCCTATTGGCATAGAGCTTGTCCACAATGAAGAGTGTAGTGGCAGTTTAAAAATGAACAAATTTATTCTGACATAATAACTTTTAACCTTTTCTTCCTAATAGATCTCTACATATATTACTGTCCCGCCGTCTCCTCTAATTCAGACACTAGTACAAGGGAATATTTTAGTAAGCGATGAAGTCTTGATGTCAGCTATGTCTGCTTTTACAACGTTAGACCAACCAATGTCCACTGTGCAGCCCTCTGTGCAGGTAAGCAGTGTTTACTGGTCTTTTTTCAGAAGTACGTAAACACTGGCAAATTACATATAAAAGGGGAGGAAGTAATTTTATAAGAGTCTTGTTGTCTTGCAAAGGCACAAAATGCTAAAAGTATGTCAGGCACCACTGAGTGAAATATTGATGTGATATTCGTATAAATGTTATCATTTTACAAAATAACAAATATCACAGTCTTGTAGTAAGATATATGTAACAGAGTGAACTAAATTAATATACAGCATAGTAAATTAGCATTGTATACTAAATTACTTTGAAAGGAAAAGAGATAAATTAATGCTGCTACATATCTATGTCCATGTATGCCAGGCATCAGAAAGACAAAAGGTATGTGAAGAAACTTATGTAGTTTCATCACTAGCTTTTTCCATCCTATGCCAACGTATTTTCTGTAGAAATCAAGTTAGATGCTATAGATGTTTGTAATCTTGGTTTATGAATGATGGTCTGAAGCCCAACCCTTTATTTCGGACACTTTGATGATTTCCCATTCTGTCTTTTTAGAGCAGCCTGAATATGCATACTGGCGCAGGATACTTGTCTCAGCAACCACCTCCCCCTCCTCCTCCACCACCACCTCAGCCTCCCCCTCCTCCTCCCCCTCAGTCACTTGGAGCACCAGGCCAGACCAGTGCAGGGAGCAGCGGTGTGGTGGAAGTCTACAGTGCACCTGCATCCATGACTGGGAATGGAACAGTAGAGATACAGAATCTGGGAATGCAGCCCTATCCACCCATGGAGGTAGCAGCGGGGTTTTGGCTGCGTAGTGCAGCATGATTCCAGTACTGCTTGCTGGCTTCTTTCTAATGTGTGTGTGATCTCTCTGGTTCTAATGCAGGAGTAAGAAAGGCTGTATCTGATTCAACTTTAGAACACTATTCATCAAATAAATTAGTGACATTGTAAGATGCATAAGGTTGTATTTTAATCAATAGTTATTTCCTCTGTGGGCAAACTGGTAATCAGAAAGCTGATGACCATTTGCAGGGAACTGGGAAAACAAAGAAACTATTTATAGGCTGCAGCAGGATTGATGTGGAGAGATTACTGAACTAAATGAGATTAAGATGGAACATTATCTGTCTCCAAATACTGGAATGCAAAAGGTGAGCTGGGAAGCAGAGGCTTTGTTTAGAAAGCTACTAAGTGGTATAGTTTTTAGATTAATAGGACAAAGCCAATTACTAGAAACCCAGTTAAGACAGTCTTTGAACAGGGACATTCAGAAGTTCCCACCCTTCCCCACACGTGCACATTCAGCTCCTGCACTTCTGGATCAGAATCCAAGTCAACAGCCTTTGAAGGCTGTACGGAAGGAGTGGCCCCAGTCCCTGCAATACCAATGAAAGAAAGGAGGCAAGACCTTTGCCTGCTTGTTTGTCTTTTTTGAAGATACAGGGACCACAGTGCAGAAGAGTGCTGTAACCCCATTACTCTCTATGGCATATGCATCTGATAATGAATGTAGGCATTTACTTTGCCCGTGCAAATGTGGGTCACAATTATTCTCTGGTCTCAGTTGTAAATAGATGTTGAGTTGGCTTTATAACCCTATGTTTGTCCAAAAGAATCCTTAGTTGTTTGTGTGAGAAATTCCAGATGTGTTCTGTATGCATTAAAAAAAATTCCTAAAGGTTTGTATGGCATCTCTCCTCTAATCAGGGAATCAAGTTTAGGTTTTGTGGTGGCTGAAAATGTTCTGGTTTGCTTAGCAGAATAAAATGTGGATACTTGGTTTACCACATTTCTGGGACCAAGGGAGTTCCAGTTTTCACAGGGAATATTATTCACTTTGCAGTGCTGCAAAGCAAGGTGGAGCATATTAGTGGGTCTAATCTGATGCAGCTAAAAATAGGCATCAATGTTAAACTTGCTTTTATCGTACATAATTGTAATGTGCATTTCATTACAGTGACTGTGTTCAGCTGTAATGCTAAACCATTGGTTAGTGTTACAAGGACAAGCTTCTCCTTGAGCTTGTATGCTGCCGCCTTTCCTCTTCTTTGATATGTCAGTCAGTGAGGAGATCAGAAGTTCCCCTTTTGTTTTAGGTTAACTACAGTGTTCAGTGATTGTTGCCGACAATGAATAGTGAAAATAATAGTGTTTCTACTAGCTGTAATTAAGATCAACCACAGTTTGCCTAGATTGAGGAAACATGTTAAGCTGTCCTTAGTCAAAAACAAGCAAAAAGCTCTGAATTCTTCCTCATGAACCCTGTGGTTTAGAGCAGTAATTCCCAGCCTGGGATACACATATCCTCAGGGGTATGAACCAGGACATTTAGGGGTATGCAAAAAAAAAAAAAAAAAGTACAATAGCGGAAACATGCACATACATGTTTATTGCAAACATTTTCCTAATATGAAGGGAGCAGTTTATGGAAATGGGCTGCCAAGGGGTGTGCAAGTGAAAAATGGTTGGGAACCACTGGTTTAGAGCTGTGCCTGAACCAGCCTAAAATGCTACATGCTTCATCCTCCTCTTCTTTAAAGAAATACTTGTTTAACCTTTTCATTGCTTCTTAACTCTTGAGGATACATGAAACAGGCCAAAGCATAAAAGCCTTTCCAGATATTAGTTTTATTCTCACATAGTACATTGGAAAATAAAACTGGGCATACTGCTGTATCTTTTTTTTAAAATCAGAACTGGTAATCATATACGTTTTACAATTTCTAGTTCAGGACCAAAGTTAATAAGTGTTGGATATGTATTGTTGGATTACCTGTGTTTTTACATTTATTTTTAAATGATTTTGTCAGAGCATTACATCAGGATCACAAGGGAGGTCTTGATCAAGAATTAAAGTTTTCCTCAGTAGGGCAACAAGATAGACATGTGACCAGCCTGTCTCTCCCTTATGTTTATTTGAGAGAAATACAAAGAAATGGAAAACTAGATAATTGAGTACCTTGCTTAGCTTAGCTTTGTTCAGATTCAGTTTTGGATTTGGGTTCAGCTTTAATTAAATGTATCTGCAGCCTGATTCTTTCTTACCACAGGAGCTTTTTATATTTTCACTGTCTCTCACCTCTTGAAGAGGGTGGAAGCCTAGAGAACCCACTTCTGCTTTCTTATTTTATGTTTTTCTGAATTATGTTTGTGTTCTGAATGTTTGATAGTGATTCAATATCTTAATAAATGTTTTTACCAATAATATCTGTTTTAGGTACCCAGCCAATGTGTAGAAAACCCAGTATACTCCTCCCCTCCAGTATACAGTCCAGGCAAGCAAGGTTTTAAATCCAAAAGCCCGAACACTGCTGCTTCACTGAATAGTACGTGTGGAGGAAATGTGAGCAATTATGATTCAACATCACCTTCCAAGAACCGTCATTCTAAAACAGACAGCAGCCTGCTAGAAGGTAAGGCTCCTCACAACCAGCCCTTGCTGTGGTCATGTCTCCTGTGGGCAGCAGAAGGCCTTTGCAAAGTATCCGAATGGCCTATAGCAGGGGTGGGCAATATGCACTTGATTGTGGCTTCTGGTGTGTCTGGACCTCTACCATTGCTTGTATTGTACTGCTGCTGGATTTTAGTCGTCCACATTTTCATATTAAAGAAAAACATGCAGAGACTTACAGGAAATTGTTTCCCCACAGGGTATGGCAGGAGAGATAAAGAGTAACCTTTTAGAGATACAGAGAGGTACAGGAAACAAACACCAGAGCTGTGTGTATCTTATCCTCTTTCACTTTATAACAGACAACTCCCATACTGGCCACTAAGCTTGGGGAGCTCATGATGAGAAGGGATTTAAAATACTCATACAGTCTTATGGATTGGTTTGAGAAGTGAAGGATTTCAGTTTGATTTCACATAAGGATATCTTTAGGAGTGCTTCACAGATTATGAAATTTCTTTGCAAGGGGCTGTTCTACCCAGGAATTAGCATGTTGCCTGTATATGGTTTGTCACTCATGACTATTCCATGCCTGGGATAAAGAGTTGGGATTCTTCCATATTTATTTGGTAGATAGGCACTGCATGGGAAGCCTCAGCCATACCTTTAAAAAGTTGTTTCAAGGTTTGTTACTTTACATTAGAGAGAATCAGAATGTCTGTTCTTCTGAATAACATTTTCAGGAAACTGACCTTGGTTATCATCCACTAATGTTTGGTGGTTCTGCTTTTGGGCTGGTATGTACATTTTCCTTTATTATTATCATTTCCTGGACGTTAACACATGGTCAACACATACAGATATATGTTTCACTTCTGACAGCTGATAGACACATACTATAAGATAAGAAGAATGTATTCTCATCACTTGTAATGTAATGGATTGAGCACCTAATGAGGTTTTTAACATTCGAATGGATGGTGAACAGATACCATTCTTAAATATTTGCATATATGGACATTTGGTTTGCCTTTGTTGAAACTTTAAATATACTTGATATATTCTAACCTATGTGGGTAAATAGTTTTGTTCTCCTTTTTAAATGGTTTTTTTAGTGAAACTTGCAACGCAAAATAAATGAATGCAATTGTGAAAATGTTATTGTGATAGCACAGGAGCTGCTGCAGTGTTTCCTTCTTTCCATGCTTCCAGGTGCCGAAGAAGCCCAGGCTATGCTTTATGCATTCCCGGATATAACTCCAGCCTAATGAAAAGGGTGTGATTAAGAATTGGTGATTGTGGCTTTATCTGCATGAACTTCTTTTTGTTTTGTTCTGCTTATATTGCAGGAAAACCCAAGTCACCAAAACTGAAATGTACATACTGTGATAAGGCCTTCACCAAGAACTTTGACCTGCAACAACATATCAGGAGGTAATATCAAACTTCCAAACAGGACATTGGGACAGTAGTAAATACAACAGTGCAACAACTTGGCTGGATATACAGTGATCCTGTCGTTGGAGCCGTTTGCTGCTTAAGACTTGGAAAATGAGAATAATTTATCTGCTAGGGTAGTATGGTCCCTAAAGTGTTTAACATGGGCCTCAGTGTGGCATGTGTAGGTAGGCTGCCTTGCCTGTGTTCACAGTGAAGCCCTGAGTCTTGTAGGACCTCACCAGGGCGCATTGCCAGCCTGCCATGTTGGCCAAGATTATTAGTTTCCATGCTGCCAAGTTCAACTCCTATTTTGCATCTCAACACATAGAAACAGGCTATTTGGCTACATCTTCATGCTTATGGTTTGTGCTTCTAGCTCATGCCCCTGCCTGTAGCCTTCTGCTATGTCCTGCTTTCCAGTTTGTTCATTCATTTCATTTCTGTGGTGCCCCATAACCTAAAGGTTCTCTGGGTGGCTTACAAATGCTAATGCTAGTTCCAGTTCCTTCCTCTCTGGATAGGTTTCTTATTCCTGGGAGTTCCAGTGCATCTTTTCATGTTTTGTAAAACCATTAATTTAGAAATTGAACAGGTTAAGGAAGGAGTTCCAGCAGCAGCCAGTAATATTATCTATGCTTATAAGATACAACCTTTACTTACTAGCATTAGATAGGGATGTTGGAAGTTGTTTTAAGAAGCACCATGAGTGCATTTGACTTCAGCATCCTAGATTAGGTAGCAATTTGTAATTGGGTAGACTGTGTACTAGTGAAATTAAGGGCTTACTTGGATGACTAAGGCAAAGCATGTGTTAACTAAGAAAAAGACTTTTTGAATGGTAACATGTGGCAACGGTGCAGTGGAAGTTGTGGGGGAGGGAATTGTACCCCTGCCAAAAGGAGTGTTTGCCTCAGCAGGGCAAATACACTCCCAGCCAATTTTCCATCACAAAGATCAGTTTGGGTTTAACAATAAAGCAACATCAGGTCTCTTCAGGCTATTTTTTGTGCCATAAAGTTGATCTTAAACAATTGCAGACTGTCCTGGAGCATAGCGCCTGTGAAGGAAGGAGGGAAGGAAGAAAGGAATGAGAGAGGGGGAGAGAGGTTCCCAAATGCTGGGATAATCTGCTTGTGTCTAGAATATTTTTAGGGTGTGTGAATGCTGCCTGTGGTTTTATTATTACAGTGAGGAAAGCCCTGTATGATTGCAAGTTTTAAAAAGACCACAGCTTTGCATAAATTGCTCAGAATGGCACTAGTATGTGGGAGCAACAGGGAAGGATCTTGTGTTGTTAGCCACCAGTGCTATCTTTCTTTAAATTGTTTTGTATATTGCCTGTCATCCAGTGGATTCCAGGATGATGAGCAGCAAGTATAATAGTCATTTGAACACAAACTGTAAAAACCATACAGTAAAACTACAAGATTAGCAATACTATAAGAATCAGGTAAAATCAAATATGAGATGGATTGAATCCATAAATGAAGTCACAGACTTGAATTTATCAGAGCTGAGTAGGGTTGTCAAGTATAGGATATTTTGTGGGACTTTCAATCATAAGGTCACCGTAATTTGGAGATAGCTTGATGGCACATAAGAACAATGGCAGCAGCATCAAGTAAAACCCCATTGCAGGTTAAGACAGGTTAGGACACGCATCTGTCTAAATAACATTTTCTTAACATAGCACAAATGATAGTAACTTGGGTGTCAGGATACTGTTTCACGCTTGTATAAGAGAAGCATATTCTAGATGGCACACTGAATAATAATGGAACTACTGGGCAGAGACTGCATTTTTCAAACAACTGCAAAGTGCATTTGGATGCTGCACCAATGTGGACTTCCTGTCACAAAGTACTCTTTTGGGTAGAAGACGCTTGGAATCCCATGGTATGGATCAAGATGCCTCTGTGCTCCCTTTCCATCTGAGGAATGGCAAGTGCTTGTGCAAGAGGCGGAAAGAAAAGCTCTTCTCCGTTGTGGAACAGCTTTTCTGAGGAGGTGTACTTGACTCATTTGAGCAGGTGGCGAAGACTATTTTATTTGATCAATGAAGTGCTCTTTTGATTTGGCCTTTTGATGTTTTCACTGTTGGGCTGTATTTATGGTTTTATAGGGCTGTAGGTGCTTTAACTGTGATCCACCTTGACTGCATGTAATTATTAAAATGCTGGGTAGAAATAATTAAACTAAAGAATACAATGGAAAAAATAGTATGTTTGCTACTTTGGAAGGCATTGTCCTACTCCTAAATGCTGCTGAATTTTCTGGGGGCAGAAATCTGCTAAAACAAACTTGAGCCCACAACATTCAGTGTTGTAGTTGGGTGCACTCAGGATAACCAGCAACATGGCTTTTCTTGTGTTGAGAGGTTCTGCCTCCTCCTCTCTGATTTACTGTTCTCTTCCGTCCTCAGTCACACAGGGGAGAAGCCATTCCAGTGTATCGTGTGTGGCCGTGCCTTTGCACAGAAGTCCAACGTGAAGAAGCACATGCAGACCCATAAAGTGTGGCCACCAGGGATCGGGTGTACCATCTCTCAGAACTCTGTCACTGTGCAAGTCATGGCACTCAACCCCAATCAGCAGGAGGATGAGGAAAATGCAGGTGCATTATTTTCTGGTGGGACAGCCCGTTGTCCTGCTCCCTAAACTTCTGAATAATTGTACTTCTACATATTTCTATTTGTCTTTCTTTTATACCATTCCCACGACCAGGAGGCTTTAGCAAGATACTTTTTGTGCAGGGCCAGTTTCAGAATGTGTGAATGCACAAATCTCTAGGCCAGATATGTAGGCAACATGATGCTGTTGAGCCATAGCTACCTATTTCAGCCTTCCCAAATTTAGTGCCCTCCAAATGGTTTGGGCGACAGCTCTCAGAACTCCTGAGTATTGGCTATGCTGGCAGGGCTGCTGGGAGTTGAAGTCCCAAACCTCTGGAGGGCATGAGATTGGAGAATATCACTTTCCCATGCATTCATGAGGTTGAAGAACACTGCTTTTCCATACATTCTGTCTATGCATAGAACAGAGTCTGTTTATCCAGTGACTTGGATGCCTGATATAACTGGCTTCATACACGTCCTTGCTGTTGTCCATGCACAAAAAGCATGTGCGTCCCAGTCTACACCCACTTGTTTTGCCAGGTGATAATATGACTGTTGTTTGGCCAAGATCTTTTTTGCGAGTTGTACATACCAGCCACTCATTGACTGTTGAGTAGAGTGTGAAGGGCCCATCTAGCCCACCATTTCAGGAACCTACTAGAGGACCCGCCAAAAGGAGCAACAGGAAGAAAAGAAAATTCTGAATGATCAATAAGTGCCATCTATAAATTACAATGGGGCTAATAGGGCTTGTTGGTGAAGAATAGCAGTCAGTGCTTCCCACTGGACTGTTTGTGTGGTCTCAGCATACCTAAGGCAAGGAAGTCAAACATTTCAGTCCAGGGACTGATCTTCGCTTTGGAGAACTTCTTGAGTGGTGGGGTGGAGCCAAAATACCAGTATATTGTATCTTAACAACTCTTCCTATAACTGAGCCTCAGGAGAGGCATTTTAGGATGAAAAACACTGGCCAAACACCACCAAACAAACATTGGTCAGGAGACATGGGGTGGGGGGAAAGGGGCCATGGCTATTTGGGAACCCAGAAGGCTGAATTTGCTGAATTTGCCCTTCAAGTCTAACGTTCAGCACCCTTGGCCTAAAATTGCTATTAGTCCCATCAGGGCAGCTCTTGGCCTGGTTCTAAGTGAGGTGGGAAATCTATTTCTGGCATGTACTTCTCCAGATTGCAGGTAACAGCTGACATGCTGGAAATGCTCCTTCACCAGAAAATGTTCTTATATAGAGAAAATTAGAATTTCATGGAGAAGGCTTGACTAGAATCCTTCCTTTCAACATGTATTTTTATGTGGAATAGATTGGTTTGTTGGGGGTGTTCAGTCATGTGATTCCTTACCTGCAGTCTGAAATGGTATAGTCCTGACATAGGTTTACTCTGTCACCAAGAACTGGTCCCACAATGAAACAGTTCCTTTTTCTTTACTCTCCAAAGGTACTGAAAACATGATAATGCAAATTGACTGAAATACAAAGGGAAAGGAAATGTTTTTCATTCTAGGACTTGGTGATTGAAAAATGCAATGCTTGATAATCTATTCTAAAAGCCTCCCACCCCATATATGCATATGCGTACATACGCACATGTATATTCTCCCAGAGAATACTCCAGACTGAACAGCTGATATTTTAATATCTTGACTTTTCTTCTAGGCTTAAACCTGACTCCTAGAAGCAGTCCCCAACAGCCTCGGGCAATGCCTCCTACAGAAGAACAGGAAACTGGCAAGCTGGAAGCCAAGCAGGTTGTCTTGATAGACAGTTCTTATCAGTGCCAGTTCTGCCCAAATAAATTCAGCACATATTTCCAGCTGAAATCGCACATGACACAGCACAAACACGAGCAGGTAGGTGACAAATCCTTGGACTGCTCTGCCCTGGCCTGCTTAGCCCTTTTGAACTGTCCTCGACTTGCAGAAATATAGTGATGGAGACAGGTGTCCACATTTGCATAATCTCCGAAGATCAAGAAGCCAACTCAACTTTTCTCAGTGCAGAATGTAGGCTAATATGGTGCATCTTGATTTCATTAGCACAATTTAGTGCACATAGCTCTGCCTATTGAGTCAGGCCACTTGTCAATCCAGCCTGATACAATCCTCCTTGATTGTAATTTGCGTTCTGGTAACACTTAGCTAAAAATGGCACCTTATCTTATACACATGAAGGGTGTACTCTTAGAACCGATCTTTAACTCCTCAGCAGATCCAGTGGAGGTTTCAGTTTTGTAAGAGGCTTCATTCAGTATTCTCTGTGCTGATTATTCCATTCCACATTGAATGGAATCCAAGTCCCACAAGATCTAATCTAGCATTCCCCAAACTTACTATAGTGGAGGTACGAACTTGACTTTGCAATCCCTGCAATCTCAGGTGCATTTTAGAGTATGTAAGAATCACCTGCCTTGCCAAGGAACAAACTCCCTTTATGTCCCAGGTCAGTTCCTGGCATGTCGAAGTAGGGCTGGGAAACATTCCCTAGAGAACCACTGCCAGCCAGAGTAAACCAGCCTGGCCATGCTGGTTGTGGGACAATGTAAACATAGGAAAACCATGCTGGTTCAGACCAAGGGTCCATCTAGTCCAGCACTGCATACCCCAGAGGCAACCAGCTGTTCACAGGGTCACTCGAGCAGAGCAGGATGGGTGCAAGAGCTTTGCGGGCCTGAGCTCCTCAGTAAGTGGAGTATGCAGGCATGCCACCTCTGGTGAAGCAGGAAGCACAGAGGCAGTAATTCTAGTTGCCATAGATAGTCTCTAGTTTCGTGAACCAGTCAAATCCCTTTTTAAAGGATCCAGATTGGAGGCCGTCCCATGGAAGTGCAGTCTATCATTTAACTATATGTTGCGTGAAGAACTTTCTCTTGCCTGTCCTAAACCTTCCCCCAGTCCACTTCATAGGATGATCCAGGGTTTGAGTTTTCTGGGAGATTCCCTCCATTCCAAGCATAATTTTAAACCCTCTATCATGTCTACCCTTATCTTTTTTCTAAGCTGAACATTTTTTCAGCCGCTTCTCATGCGGGAGATGCTCTACCCTCTTGATAATTTGTACTGCCCTTTTCTGTATTTTTTCCAGTTCTGTATGTCCTTATTCAAGTGAGGTGACTAGAACTGAACACAATACTCTTAAGTGTGGTTGCACCAAGGATTTGTACAAGGGAGTTATACCTTGTTCTGTTCTGTTCCATTTGTGATTGTGCCTAACATGGGTTTTTTTTGCAGCCGCCGTGCACTGGGCTGACTTTTTCATTGAGCTGTTCATTGCTACCCCAAGACTCCTCCTTGCTCTGTCCTGCTAGTTCCAATCCCATCAGTGTGTATTTGAAATTGAGATTACTCTGCACTTACTTATATTGAACTACATTAACCATTTAAATGTCCATTCTCCAGCTTGATGAGATCCTTTTGGAATTCTGCATACTCCCTTATCCAACCCATCTGGAGCATACCATTTTGGAGAAAGCTTGTGTAGACAGTACTCAGCAAGTCCATCTGTATAAGGCATTTTTGTATGTTTCCAGACTGAAAGGGGGCAAATTTAGAGCAGTTACATAGGCAAAGACCCAACATATTTTATATTCTCTGGATTGGGAATGATGAATGATCCGTTGTCTGCCACAGTGGCAGCTGACTGAAAACAGGGAAGACCAGTTCAAATAATGAGAGAGCCTTCTCTGTGGGTGGGTACTTAGAACTGACAGGAGCCTTTTATTACTTCAGTTACTTTGTTTTGTACAGAATGCTAAGACTTTTTGGGGGGTCCGCAGTTTGGAGATTATTAGTCTAAACTCCCTTCTCCTATTCCCCTTATGTGCAGGTTTACAAGTGTGTTGTGAAAAGTTGTGCACAGACATTCCAGAAGCTGGATTCCTTCTTAGAGCACATCAAGAACCACCAAGAGGAGCTGAGCTATCGTTGCCACCTCTGCAGCAAAGACTTCCCCTCCCTCTATGAACTGGGTGTCCACCAGTATTCCCACAGCTTGCTTCCTCAGCACAGTCCCAAGAAGGATATGGCTGTTTACAAGTACAGTAACAGAAAGATCCGTGGTTTTCAAGCCTTTTTTTGAAGGGAAAGAGAAGCTGTTTTGACTTCAAGTTTAATTTTGTTCTCATTGGGCAAAAATTTGAAATGAGTTTGGGAAAGCAGTCAGTGTTGTTGTTGCTGTTTTTCCTCTTTATAAACTATTTTTGATTGACTGGTCAAATACTGCTGGTCCAGTTCAGAAGTAACATGCCAGATCAAACTGTGGCTTGGGATCATGGTCTAAGAGGAAAACTTTACTGCTGCAGTTCAGATGAAATAGCTAAACTGTAATTTGCTGCAAATACTTTTAATCTCCTTTTGCCTGAGGCTCACCACAGTTCTTTCTCATATCAACAACCCATATTTTGCTTTGTATCTAATTAAGTCAGGTTCTTTTGTATTATTTATTTATTTATTATTTATTTAGAAAGCTTCTATGCCGCCCCATTCGCTGAAGCCTCGGGGCGGCTTACAACAATAAATAAATAATAACAATATAAAACAATATAATATAATTGGAGACCAATTAATAATTGGTATTAATGGTAAGCTTTGGGTAATGGCAAATCAGGTTTTCACATAGCTTCCTTCTCTACCCTTTGCTCAAACCACTCCATGTGTTTCCATTGTTTTTAAGAGAAGTGTTCTCCGAATGGTAATTTGGATCTGAAAATTAGGCAGAAATGGATGATATATTAATTAGATTTTTAAACACACCTTGTGGATCAATACACCTGTTCTTTTCCCCTTCCTGTGCCCCTCACAACAATTTTGTGAGGTTGGCTAGGCAGAGAGTTAGTTGCTAGCCCAACATAATCCAATGTGCTTTATGGTGAAGCAGAAATTTGGACCTAGAACTCCTATGACCAAGCCCAACACTCAAGCCCTGCCTTCTCCAACTCAGTGCCTTACAGCTGTGTTAGACTGCAATTCCCATCATTCCCAGCCAGCATCTCTTTAGCCACTACATCAAGGTGACAATCAGGGTTATACAGTGTCCAGTTTTCTTGTTTGACAATATTCCTCTTAAATGCTAACAAGATAAGAAAATGGCCACCTAACCACCTGCAAGCTTCAGCTGAGCTAACTGCATACA